CAATAAATGCTAGTGTAAGTCTATGACGTATCAACAATCCATCTTGGACTTGAGTTATAGAGCATATTTACAGCTTCATGGAAATTAAGGTCTTTTGAAGAGTGTTTTTGATAGCGATAAGCCCGGATAACTACTTAATTTAAAAAGGCCGAAGCATTAGGTATGTAAGCAGGGTGTGAGTCAAACTATACCTGGTATATTAATTTATAAGGAACATGAAATTAAAAAGGAGGCGGAGAGTAGCAATAGGCACTTCTTACCGGACAAAAGGACTAAATTCATTGTTTAGCTCATAGTTTCAACTCCATTTCTAGTATAAATGTCGAACAAAGTTATGACCAACTTAAAATTTTGAAGAAGCCACCACAAGGAAAAAAGTTATAGATCACTTGTTTTGGACAAATTCTGATTTTTATTTTATATATATACCAGCAATTAAAGTAATATTGAAATTAATCCGACTATTAGAATATCATGAGAGTAAAAGATGCGTACGGTAATCAAGAGTTTTAATTAATCTTCCAATTAAAATTTTTTACTACTGAGATTTGGTAAAAAATAGTCATACAGACATCTAACCTTATACTTTATGATGTCCAGATAGGAATCGGGTTGATACCATTGAATAAGAAGACTCGCTTCAGCTTTGGCTGTCTCTGCTGCTACGTTTGGCTCAATTTGGCGTGGAAGTAAGCCCTGACAAGCAAGCTGAGGAAACTCGAGGTCCGTTTCTTTGTAAAATCTGCCTAGCATTGGCGGAAATGGTAAAGGTTGAAAGGGTTGAATAGGTAAACTGGCACTCCTCATTGGAGCGTCATCCCATGAAGGAGGATGATCTGTGACAGCAGGCTCGCTCCATGGCCCATAACGTAGGTCGGCACCCCGAGCCTTGATACGTACAACATAGCTGGCCATAGCGTCCAAATTGAAAAGAGTGGCAGAATTAACAGCCCCCACGACCAAACGTTTCCAAACATGCTCGTTATCAGGATTGTCGTTCGTTGCATAATAGATGCAAAAACCAGTTATCGGTACACGTCGTTGAATTTGTTGGCCTGGCTGGTGCTTAGGATGTTGGAACTGCCCGGGTAAATTGTCATTTTCAGTGAGATGGTTAACACCCGAAAGACTGCCTAAGTGAAAAGGTTGATCTCCCCAGGTGACTTTTATTTGGTGAGGGTTAATTCGAATTGCTGAGATGTAGCGGGGCGGATCGGGAACTTGAGGATAAATAAACAAATGATAAAAGTCAAGACACACAGAGTTTAATGGAGGTAATGAATTTTCACACGTAATTTTTCATGAAATACTAGCGAGAACAATGCTTGACGATGCTTAAAAAGATTAAATGAGATCTACTCAAACGATTTGCTTAAGGTGGTAAAGGAATGGTAGTTGAATTATCCCACAATGATATGAGTAGTCCTAACATTTTAGTTGAATAAAACATAGCCTAGATTGACTAAAAATATTCTAATGAGATGTATTCACCCTATTTCGTGTAAGGTGATGAAGGACTGGTAGTAGAATTTTCC